TATTCTTATCTTCTTCTATTTATTTATTTCTAGTTTTTATATATTTTTTCCGTCTTTTTACTGCATTGACAAACTAACGGGACAATTTTATTACGAAAAAAATGTGAAAAAGTGCTTTTACCGCAATCTTCTTATATACCTTTGTCAAGAAGATAAAATAATTTTAATTTTAATGTATAAGACAGGCAATAAGAGCCAAATCGCGGATGACAGTGCGTTATCCTAACGAAACTAAATTTTTTCGTTAGAATTAAATACCTGTGCACAAGGTACCAAATTTTACTTGGACACGGCCAAGATTTTAAAATTGGAATAATCTCTACAAGAGATTTTTAATTTCATACATTTCCTCTACCCCCTAAGGAAATAAATGTGAGAGAAAAATATAGATCCGAAAGTCGCTGAATCGGGAATCGAAATAATTTTATTTTAAAGACAAAAGGGGATTTTCTCTTGAAGTTGATTCTACGATATGCATGCGCCGTAATAACGCACGTGCTATTCTCGGAGCGGGGCTTCTTTTAAGAGAATAAACAAACCATACGTTCGTTTATCTGATGATAATAATGGTGAAGGAATACACACACACACACGCATGTTTTGTACAATCGAGAGAAATAGGTCACGGGAGAGCAAAAATGTTTGGCATGCAGCGGATACGAAACGTCAAAAACAGAGAGTGAACTTTTATAGCAATGATGTAATCAACTCTAATCTCGTTCGCGACCTAATTTTTACGTTTTTCTGCAAATTATTTACGGCCAAGAACGCGACTATCTCTGGTGATTCTGCTCGAAATTATTCACAGATTACGATATCGCAGTTCATAATGTGCGTACAAATTGAGAAAGCAGAGTCGATTAATTAATAATATATAATTAAAATTTCAGCCGATTTCTTCATTTATATTTTAATGGCGTATAATTGACAAAAATGACGCGAGAGAGAAAAAGAGATTTAATATTAGAGCTCATTCTCTATAATTTATAACATGAAAGAACTTTCTCTCTCATCTCTCTGTAGCTATTATTTCATCTGTATAATACTATATAAACTTTCTTAAAAAATAATAAATTTTAATAATTATAATTTAATAATTTATTTAAATAAATATAAAAATATAATATAGAAAAAAGGTAATTGAATTATAAATAAAAATTACAATAACTTATATTTTATAACATTATAATTATTTTTTATTATAAAAAAATAATTATAATGTTATAAAAAATAAGTTACTATACTTAATTTTTATTTATAATTCAAGCCAGAATCACGAAAAAAGTATTGTATTAATAATCAGATTTTTCGGAGCAGATTTCAAGCGATCCAAAAGTTTCTTAAAAAGTAAACAATTTTCAATCTTATTTAAACATAAAAATAATAATTATCGCTGATGTAAAATAGAATTTTATCTCCATAGACAAAAATCAAGCTTAACAATTAATTAACAAGAAATATACAGAAGATACATATATATCTTTTGTAATTTTTTAATATAAAAAATGTAATTGAAATATAATTTCATTATAATAGAGAATTTTTATATAATTCTCCAATATTTACTAAAAAAGTTTTAAATAATCCAAATTACCGAGTCGCGTATTATTATAATATTATTCGGAATAATTAATGAATTTTTCTCAAATCTAGAGTTAAAGATAAGAGGGTACGAACGTTATTATATTTGAACATTATTTCGTGTGAACGCAATCGCTCTGCCAATGCCAGTCGAGTGAATTCGTTAAAGGAATTCGTCCGTTAATCAATTTCGTAATAAAAATCAATCGACGCGGAGAAAAAGAAGATAGAGAAAGAGAGCCCGGCTTTACTGTTCACATAAAAGTACGCACTAACGGAACATTTTTATCATCTTATACATGCATGAATGAATGGCACATTTTCGATATAATTTAATAAATAAATAAATAAATACAGGAAGAGTATATATATATATATATATATATGTAACAAATTGCAATTAAATAATATCAACAAACCTAAAAAGCGCTTATTTTTCGTATCAGTTTTTGCTATTATCTAAATAAAATTATACAGATGTATTTTATCTATATTTGCATCTCTTATTGTTAGATGAAAAAAGTATTATCTTTACTAAATTATTTCTAGAATAATTTCAGATAATTTCAGCTTAGAATATCATAGCACATAAAAATATTTAAATATAGTAATTAAAACTTATATACAAATTTATAAAATAAAAATATGAATATTATATTTATATTTATATTTATAATAATTTATTTTAATAATTTATTAATTATACTTAATATTTATATTTATATTTATATTAATTTATATTTTTTTATAACTGTGTTTACAAAGCAATCTGAAAAATAATCTAGATGAACCGCCGTATAATTTATTTATTTGTTATCTAGATAAATTTAAAACAAAATCATCTTCATCTAAGATGAATTTACATATTTTTATCTCTATTGTTATCTAGTTAATTTTAAAATCATCTAAGCACAACACTGACTATGATACGAAAAATGGCCTCGCCGAAATTATATACCTGTTTGGTATGTCGAGTGAAGAATAGAGAGAGAGAAAGAGAGAGAGAGAGAGAGCGAGAAAAAGAGAGGTTTTCGCGCGTCCCCTCGAAATTATCGAATCTATTCACTTGATTTATCGAAAGAAATCGAAAACGTACGCTTTCTCTCTCTTTTTTTCAAGAAAAAGTGCACTTTATACATCCAAACCGACACGAAGAGAGAGCTCGAAAGATCGAAAGAGAGAGAAGCAGGAGAGAAATTCTCGCTCCTGCGTCCCTGAAACCGGGCGGGCAGCTAACTCACCTCGTGCCACATTCCGCCGACGACGACGACGACGAATTAGATCCGAGTTCCTCCGCCACGTGAATACCTCTTTCCCGGAGGAAGGACGACACTTTTCCCTCCTTTCTGCCTCTTCCCGCACCTGCACTTAATACTCGCGCTTTTCAAATTTTCGAACCCACTCACTCGCGCACACCTTCACGGCACTCGAATCCGAGCGTTGCCAATTGCGCGCGCACACGTATATATATACACACACACACATATATATATAATATATGTATATATATATACGCACGTGAGAGAGAAGCCCCGCGGAAAGAATCAACCACCGAAAAATACCTCGCACGCGCGCGCAGACTCGAGGGGGAGCAACGGGGCGAAATGTCAACCGAAAACGGAGCCGGCTCCTGGCGCGTCGCGCCGCACGATCACGCGCAGACCAGACCGCCCGAAGGACCAATACGGACTGACTTCACGGCGCTCCGCGCCACCGACCTCTCCCCCACCACCGCCGCGCATGCGCGGAAGCGCGCGCGCGCATGCGCGCTGCCGGCGCGAAGCGGAACGGAGCAGACGCGTAAGAAACCGTGGGCGCGAAAATATTTTTCAATCGAATTCAATGCGTTTCGCTTTTTTTTTTAGGATTCTCGAGTACTGTTGAGAAATTTTATATTAGATGTGTATATATATATAATTTATATGTTATGTATTTATATGAACATTATTTTCTATTTTTTATTATTTGCTATTTTATTATATATATATATATATATATATATAGATATATATATATATATTGTTATTTAATATATTATATATAATATATAAAATAAGATATATATATTATTTACAATAATATAGTATATGTAATATATAAAACATAAAATATATAAAATAAATTATTACTCTATAAAATAAAATTCCTCACAGATACTAATAAAAAATTCTAACATACTTGATCCAGTTCGAATATACTTGAAGTACTTCTTATTTTTCAAGATGTTTTTATAGAAGATAATTCGGATCTATTTCCAGACTTGAATCTACTTGAAAGTATTGTTTTTTTTTCGAAGTAAAAAGAATACAAAATTCAAAACTATATATAAACAAAAATTCCAAGCTACTTTTGTAAAACACTTACTTAATTCCATTCCTACATATACACCAAATTAATATAGTGGAATTAAAAATATTTATATACACACAAATTTACATATTTATCTCAAGAATCGAATCTTTTGTCGTAAGATTATCGATAATTATTAATTATTATACTAATGCTACGAGATTTTTGTCTGATAGCGTGTTGTATCATTGAATAAGAATCAACCATAACTTTATTTTTGTTAATATATATAATCGCTTGTACAGCAGAGACGTCTCGTTTTTTTCCTCGGTGAAAGTTATAATGAATACACATAAAAGATAATATAATGCGCAATATGGATATTTATCATATAATCGTACATCAATCAAAAATATTAAAATTATATAACCGTGTTCTTCTCTCTCCTCCCAATAAAGATAATTTACAACATACATCATCTTTTTTTATCCTTATATATTTAGGACTAACCCGACAATATTAAGAGTCTCTTCACACATTTTACATAATCGTGTGTTCTTTTTTTCAATCCTTTGCCGCCCTTATTTATTTCTCTATAAACAATCTCTATACCGTATGTTTCTCAATAATCACGCTACAAATTCCTAAATTTGTATTACAAGACATATATATAACGCTTAATTATAGTAGGTATTTATGCTACGTTCAAATTAAATCAACAAAGAGACAAGTGCACACCAGTACGTGAGTTCTTTTTTTTTGTTTAAAGAAAGCCGTTGTTTTTTCCTTTACTTCTCGAGACATCCGAAGTAGCAAACCGACGTCATTGAATGTTAAAATGACGTTATTTTGACGTCATTCGACATGTAAATAACGTATGCTTGCTACCTGGGATTGTATATATATATATATATATTTATATATATGCACGATATCTATAAAAACTTACATGAAAAAACGTATTATTATAGAACGAATCGTCAAACCGTGCTCTTCGAGTATATCGTCAATACTCCAAGTATATCATGTCTTGTTTATGTACAATATATAAAATAATTAAGAAATATCCGTGCAAAAAGCATTTACGTTCATTCCAGTTGGATTCCAATATTTTGGTTTGTCGCATTTTCTTTTTTCTTTTTTTTTTGTTTATTTGGAACGTACAAATAACATGTCTTCGCTACAAGATTACAATAATATATTTCAGGATATCTGAAAGCAAAAAAAAGGAATACACTCTCGATCGATCGATAAAAGCCGAGAAAGCGAGTCCGTTTAAATAGGCGGTAATCTAATAATATTTTTTTTCCATGCAGAGGGGTGTTTCGGTGTGTATTCAAATGTTTCTAATTAGTCATTCAAGTTTATATGCAATTAATGAATGCAGTCGTGGGTGTGAATTATCATGACCGATATTACATAATTCTACTCGTATCAAGATAATGTTCTAAAAAAATTTGTACATGGGAAAAATGACATCAACAAAGGCGCAGCCAATTTTCTCTCTATTCCAAGATCCTCTATTCCAGAGACCTTCCTTTATCTTATAGCTGTTTAACTAAACTCTTCTTTCCAGCAAGAGACGCAATATGCCACACAATTGGTTATCAAATATATTTAAGCATTAAAATTATATTTGATAAAAATTCTAACACATAGAATGTTTAGCGATCCTCCAATTTAATAGCCAATTGTGTTTTATCTGCGTTCTCTTGCGAGAAAGTTTCCCCAGAAGGAGTGAAAACAAAGAGGAGGAAATGAAGAAGAATACGCATATGATATTTTCATATTGTACACGTATTATTTAGAATTAGGTATTGTGATTCTAGAATAGAGGATTTCTCATCTCAATCTTGATTTATATGTATATATAATCTTAGAATATAAGAAATCGACTATACCTAGAGCACATCGAAGAGGATACATAGACCAAGAACGAAGATTCAGAAAAGTGAACAACTAATTGTGTGTTTGTGTGTGTGTGTGTGAAATGACAATATAGTAAATAGCCATCATCGTTACATTTTTTTTCTTCTATCCGTCTAAAACACAGACAAATCTGAATCTAAATAAGAAAAAACTGCAAAAATTGAACGAGTGAGTAGCGTGTATTCCGTTTAGGATTGAGAAAATGGAAAAGAGGAGGAGGGAGGAAGGGGCAGAGGGGATATAAGTTTATAATTTTCGACAGCCAGTTACCTTATGTATCTCTCACGTTTGTCGTAAGAGGTAAATAAGGACGAAATTAAAGGTAATATTGGAATAACAGTATTGCAGATTGGTGGTTAGCTCATGGATAATTGTCCATTATTGAGTAGTCTCTCAACGGCGGCATTTATGTCTCCCAATGTGGCAATTAACGCTGAAAAAAACAGTATTATAAAAATTTATATAAATTCACATTATTAAATATGAAATATATGTATTATATGTTACATATTAAATTATAAAAATGTTATTAAAACATTATTTAATTTACGTGATAAAAGCGTAAAGATGACTATTTTATATAACAAATATAATATCTATATAAAATCTAAATTATTACATTAATCAAAATGGTTAGTTTGTCTCTTTATGCAGATCTTTATATTGATAAAACAAAAATCAGCAGAAATAACTGTTATATAATTGTTATATCAATTATCTCTCGTGTAATCGTAAATATTTACATACATAAAGTATATAAAGTAAAAAAAAATTGAATAAATGTATTATTGGCTTTCTTACCTTGTAAATTTGCATCTCTATTAAGAAAACCCATAGCCGTAAGTTGCTCTAGCTGTGCTCTGTAACGTTCCTCTGGTGGAGGTACAGGTTGACCGTCAACTTCTACACCTTGGTTTAATGCCATCGCAGAAACCTAGTATGCATAAATATAATATAAAATTCAATACACAATAATTAAATAAAAAATAATTTTTATTACATTAAAATACTTTAGTAATATAACAGATTTATCATTTTATATTTTTGCTACTAAAGACAGAGTAAACATATTGACTTCATTAAAACCGTTAAATCACATGTATCTAAATTCTTTAATCAATCACTTGTTTTAAGAAAGGATATTATTCCAAGATATTCTATTTTTCAAGAAAAATATAAAATTATGAATTTAAAAAATGAATGAATATTATAAATAGATATATAATGATAATATAAAATAGAATATAAATATAATATAAAATATAATATAAATATAATATAAAATATAATATAAATATAAAATACAATATAAATATAATATAAATATAATATATAAATATATATAAATTATCTAATTATATAATATTCTAATTATTAATATAATTTTAAAATTATATAAACGATTCTTTTAATTATGAATTATATAAATGAGATTCCTTACCATACGTGCCATAAATTGGGAAAACGCGTCCTGCTGATTGGTGTCCGATGATTGGTTGGTCGGTACACTGGGGTTCGTGCCACCTGTGTTCGGTGTTGTGGTCGCAGGAGGTACCGTGAGGCCCATGCTAAAAAAAAAAACATACACACGCACTCGTTATAATAATCGCACACCGATGAAAATACACGTCGACGTAGAAATGAAATTAGAATGAGAAATTTACTTTTCGACAAGTTCGGGAGCGACAGTGCGCAACTGCTCCATACCCTGCTGAATCTGCATGATAGCGGCCAGGGCGTCCGGATTGGTCACCACGTTTTGTATCTGCGGATTTTGCATCTGCTGGATGAAGGCGGGCATCATGGCGCGCACCTGTTCCTGCATCTGCGGATTCCCGCGGAGGAAGGGATTCGTTGCGATCACCCGGTTGGCCATCGACGGGTCCGCCGCCATCGCCTCGAGCATGGACCTCGTGTACGGAGCGTTTAGCATGTTCCGCATCAGCTGTGAGTTCTCCATCATCTGGGAGGTGAGGCTGCGCATTTCGGGCGAGTCCAGCAGACCCCTGCTTTGGCCCTGCGGCTGTCCTCCCGTGCCGTTTTCATTCTGTCCGGGACCCCAGGGATTCGGTAGCGGGTCCCGATTCTCCTGGCCCTGCTGCGGATTCTCCTGGTTCGCGGAATTGCTGTTCTCCACCAGAGCGGCGAAGGGATTACGGCCGTTCGTCGCCGCCGCGAGCATAGGCTCCTGGATATCCCGGTACATGCGACGTAACGCGCTGTAACCGCCCGGTATACTCTCCAGGTTGGACAGAGCTCGGTCGTGCGAGCGCATCAGTTCCTGGAGCATCGACGGGTTGCGCGCCAATTCCATCGTTTGCCTGGAAAAACACATTTTTTCATAACATTGTGCAATATTGCGTATCGTCGAGTACGAGCATTCCCGAGTAGCAAACTGACGTCATTAAACGTCAAACTGACGTCATTAAAAGTCAAAATGACGTTATTTTGACGTCTAATGACATTTAATGACGTCAAATAAATACAAAATAAGTTAATCGTCGAATCAATATTTGAAAATTAGAATTTAGAACTCAGATAGCAAACTGACGTCATTAAACATCAAATTGACATCGTTAAAAGTTGAAATGACATTGTCATTTTGACGTTTAATGACGTCAGTTTGCTATATCTGGGTTCTAAATTGCGATTTTTAAATATTGATTCGACGATTAACTTTTTTACATTTATTTCTTAATTCATGTTTTATAGTTTTGAATGGCTTTCAGTTTTTACAACTATTATTCTTTCTACATATATAAGTGTAAATATAAGTGTCAGTGTGTTTACTCAAATTTTGTAAAAAAATCCCCTGATTTTTTAAATTCCAAGTAAATTAAGAAAATTTGTAAATGCAGACTTTTAATACAAGTTTCTTTATTGTATGTGCTTTCTATAATGTAATATTGATTTATTAATTATAAATTTATTTGATCAAAAATTACTATTTGGACAGTAATTATAAAATTAATTTGAACAATAATAAAGTATGATATATCATGATATCTAAAAATATATGCAAAAATATAAAATAAAAATATAAGCCAAAATAATTTATTATAAATTTTTCAAAATACTAATTTATTTAAATATTACATATTAAAAAAGTGAATAATTTTCTATGAAACTTATATAACATTTTGATACTAAAAATAGATTTTGTCAATAAAAAAACACATAAAATATTAATAAAAATCTAAATATTGCAAAGATATGTTAGATATGTTTTTTAAGCAATATGCTAAATAAGAATATAAAATTATCAGCCTATTATAAGATTATTAGATTATTAAGAGACAATCTTTCTTAAATTCTTTGAATGCCTATTCTATGAGAATGTTTAAAGATAAGATAAAATTCCTTTAAAATACTATGTTTTCAAGGTTTTCCCCAGAAGTACATTCCGAGCGTGTAAAGTTAGAATTATGTGTAAATCACATCAAATGATTAAATTAAAAAGACAAAGAGGCTCGTATAACGCAATAAATAAAAATAATGAAAAGCCAACTTAAGAATATATAAATTAGTCTTGAACTTGAAAATTGACAATTGCAAATAACATTGTTGTTGATAAAATTAAAATCAAGAATAAAATTAAAATTTATTAATTACTAAAAATTATAAATTTAAAAATTTAAATAAAAAGATAAATAAAAAACATTGAAGGTAGAGTGATATGCAAAATTAAGAAAAATTTAAATTAATAAGGAAATTTAGATGCAAAAATGTTTTCAATTTCAAATAAACGTATTTGACTCAGAGTAGAGTTTAATACATTCATCAAATAAACAAGATAAAATAAATAAAACAAATCATGTAGTCTTGAACTTGAAAATTAGTAATTAAAAATTTAATTGAATTGAAAATTGGCAGTTAATGTTGCAAATAATACTGCTATTCATATTAAAATTAAATTTTATTAATTATTAAAAATTTAAGATTGAATTCAGCGATTAACTTAAAGGTACAAATAAAAAATATTGAAAGTTAAGCAGTACAAAACCGAGAAAAATTTGCTCAATTCAATTAATAAGAAAATATAGATGTAAAAATTATTTATTTCAAATATAAAAGTGTATTTGACGCAAAGTTGAAACTTTAAACGCATGCAGAATGTAGACATTTGTAAACCAAATGATCAAACAGGTAAAACAAAAATAGTTGCGCGACTAGGCTATTGTATTCAAATCAGTTTTTAAGTGGATTTTGATCTTCTGTAAATGGTTGCACAACTTACCGCAAAAGTTCAGGATTGTTAAGCATATGACTGATTTCTGGATTACGTTGCATCAGCTCTTGCATTTGGGGATTAGCAGTGACCAGATTGCGCATGTTCTCTGGATCATTCATCAAACTCTGAACCAAGGGATTATCTAGGACTTGGCGCATCGTTTCCGGATTTGACAACAATTCTCGTTGCATGCGTTGCTGTAGGTCTATGAAATTCGCCGATCCGAGACCCAGGGATTCCAATCCCATCAGTCCGCCTAAACTTCCCAAGCCAAACGGACTCGCGTTGACATCAGCTACAATTCAACATCGAACAAATATATCACAAGTCAATTAATATATAATAAATACAATAATATTCTCAAATATTCTTTTCCAAAATAATTTTCTCTATATCTCCTTAAAAAATTCTTCTACGAGACAAGTTTTCTGCCAAATTAATATCTTAAAAATAATCTTCTCTATAAATCTCGCTAAGATCCATCTACGAGACAAGTTTTCTGCCAAATTAATATCTCTTAAAATAATCAGCTCTATAAATTCCACTAAAATCCTTCTACGAGACGACTTTTGCTGTAAAATTCTAATATACCCTGTGGTCGCGGAGCCTGATTCGACTCCTGGTTCGGCGTAGAAGATGCACGAGGCGCCTTGATCACCAGGTGCACCGCCAGGCCGTCCTTGATGTTGTGCGTGCTGAGTGTCTCGTGGTCCTTCATGATTTGCCGGCGAAGATGAGGCATAACTGATCGGCTTGCGCGTTGAACTTCTTCGAGACCGCTTCCTTGAACTAGCCGAAAAAAAAGCAGAAGAAAAGAAATGAAATCGCGCGAGCTAACCCAATCCCGAATTTTGACAGCTGACAGCGCACGAGGTCAGCGAGTGACAGCTCGGAGCAGGCAGCACCGCTTCGCAACTTACGTCCTTTATCGTCGCGTTCTCCTCAATCTCCACACTCTGCTTCTCCTTCGGCGTTTTCACGTTGATGGTGATCTTCCTCGGACCACCCTCCTGCTGGCCTTCTGCCATCTTGGATCGGTAGATGACTCGTTACTTTCGACGCTCGCGCGATCCTCGACACGTACGTTCTCTCTCTCTGTCTCCTTCCCTCTGTCTCTGTCTGTCTCTCTCTTCTTCTCTCTCTCTCTCTCTCTCTCTCACTCCAACTCGCGAGGAAATTGCGCACCGCGAAATAAATATATCCCGAGCACGGCGACGACACTCCCTCGCGAAATCGCGAGTACGTTCGGTACGCGGCGGATGAGGAACTCTTTTTTTTCGCTCGAGCCACGAGATATTCTCGGCGGGGAGGGAAGAGAACTAGAAGGTGGACTGCGCGGCCGGACCGACGTGCAACGATACGCAGCGGCGCGTCGCTCCGCGCTCGGCCATAATAACGATATGATGATAAACAACGCGCGCGCGAACGAGCGAGCGAGCCTGTGACGGGGTGTCGACTGACGTGTTGAGAGAATGCGCGCGAGAGAAACGTCGTGTCCGTCCGTCCGTCGACGTTCTCGCCGCGAGATCGAATTCCGATCGCACACACCACGATCACGATCGCACACCTCCGAGAGCGACGCGAGTGCAGTGCCCCGCTGCTGTAAGGTTATGTCACGCTGCCACCACCGCGGCGCGAAAGCACCGCCGCGCGTGCGCGCTCGATTACGCGCGACGTGGTGGATTCTCACTAGTTTGACGTACAGGGTGTCCCGTATTTTAAATTTCAAATAATACAAAATAGTATGACAATAAGGTAATATAATATTAATAACGATAATAATGATGATGATGATGATAATGATGATGATGATGATGATGATAATGATGATAATAATGATGATGATGATGATGATGATGATAATGATGATAATAATGATGATGATGATGATAATAATGATGATGATGATGATAATATAGTAATGATACAGGGTGTCCCGTATTTTAAAATATTAAATAATACAAAATAATACAATAAAATAATAATAATAATGGTAATATTATGATGATGATGATAATAATAATAATAATAATTGATGATGATGATGATATAGTCATGATGATGACGTGTGTGTGATAATATAATGATAATATATATTGTATATATATATACAGGGTGTCTGATATAAAGTGTCACACCGATAATATACAAGTAGATTTTGTCATTTGGAGACGATTTTTCCTCAACAAAAATGTCGAAGGAGGTCATCATTCTTTGCATGTTCTTAATTTTTGTCATTATATGTATCTTTATAACTAAATCTTATATTAAAATTGTATTAAAGTAAACTCTACTTGAAATTAATTGGAGAATGTGATTTTGTTAATACTTTATTTCCACAAGCCTGAGTTTGCGAAAAACCCTTTATTTTCAATCATTTATAACTTGAAAATGATTGACGTCTTAAGATTTTTACTGAGGAAAAATTGTCTCCAAATAACATCTACCTGTATATTTCGGTGTGACACCTTATGTCAGACACCCTGTATATATAAAATAATGATGATAATGATAATATATTTATATATATATAATTACTATGGCTATCTGGGTATATTATTTATATATATATATATATATATATATATATATATATATATATATATAATATACCCAGATAGCCATAGTAATTATTATGACATCAAAATGTCATAATAATTACTGTGGCTATCTGGGTAATGATGATAATAATAATAATGATCATAATGATGATGATGAATATGAAAATTTGTAGGAGATTTCGAGGTTTTATTATTTTCTTAAATAGAGCTACTATATATATCATTCATTTCTTATATAAACCAATATATATTCTTCGTAAAAAATTGCTAAAATAGTCGAAAAATGGATGAATATTATTACGAGATTTTATGTATGCTTAATTCATATAACAAAAAAGATGAAATATTTCCTAAATATTAATTTTTTTAAAATTATGTATAAAAATCAACACAACTTACGACCCGTATCATGTCAAATATGTTTATATAGAAAATATTGATAATAAAATATATACATTTATATATATATATATATATATATATATATATATATATATATATATTGATATATAATATTGATAATTTTATTTTAAAGAATTGTCGGTAAATTTGAAATAGTTTTTCTTTTCGACAAATATATCTTAATTATATATAAATTTATATATGTATTTGTTTATTTACTTACCTCGTTATTTTTATATATAATATTATAAAATATATGATTTCAAAATATATCACGTGTACAAAATTGCGCATTCTTTTTTTATAATTAACTCTTCTGTCAATGCATAATTTTTTATTTTTTATCAATGAATATTTTTTCATATTTTTTCCTAGTAGCTGTTAAATATTAAATATTTTTTAAAAATTATATTTTAAAAAGTTACCAAATACAAAGGCTCTTTGTATCTTGTTTTAGAGAAAAGTTTCGACATACATTTTTAACATTTAAAATTGCTATAGGCTCTCATTAATTGACAAAAGAGCGTTAAATACAAAAAAAATACCCGTCCATAATTAAATCTGGGTATAAAATTATACTTCCATCTTTTCTCATATCTACAAAATTAACATATTTCAAATAATTAGTGTTATCAAAGACATATTTTAGATAATTTCTTTGAATCTCTTCTACGGACTTGAATATATATGGCTTTTAATTATGCTTCCTGTTCTTCAATATCATCCGAGTTCTTCGGTAAATCTCGAATAGGGGCTGATGAGAACACATCGGTGTCTAATTATTTAAAAACGTTTACTTAAAAATACAATTCCTTTAAACATAAATGGCGATATGAATGGTTAGAAAGAGAAAAAAAACATAGTTTCTTATTACTTAAGAGTTTTTCCTGCGTGTAACGGAAAAGGACATTTCTAGTCGACACCGATTTTTTTTACACCGGCGACTCACAATTCTGTCAATTTTCCGTATTTTGCATGCGCGGGTTTCCAACCCTCTTTTGCCATCTGTGTTCTCGCCTTTTGATCTGGCTGAGAATCGGTTGAGAATAGCAGCGGATGATCACGTGTACAAATGACTTCTTTCTTGCTCAACCATGGCTTTTAATCGACGACTTCCACTTTGTTTGAAACGATTCTATATGCTCCAGATTAACACCTGCAAAAATAAATAAGAATCAAATATCTTTAATTTAAAATGATAGTTTTGTATATAGCATAATATGGTAGTGACGATTATAAATGACTGAAAATGGTTTCAATGATTTATTTATACAGGATGTCTCATTTAAATCACTATATTTTTTTATATAAATTGATTCCTTGCAATATTCACTATAAAAAGTTATAAGGGTAAAATAGCTGAAAGTGAATAGTTTATGAGATATTTTATACTTAAGTTTGACATAATTTTACATAAAATTATGAAATATTTCGTAAAACATTAATTTTTCTACAATCTTACCTCAATACTTTCATGCACAAAATAACGAGAAGGATCAATTGATGTAAAGAAAACATATAATTGTTTTAAAAAGTATGTAAATTATAACTAGCAACTACATATTTTTTTTCTAATAGACCATGTTTTTTTTTATACCAATTGATTTCTTTCAATATTTTATGTATAAAAGAATTCGGGTAAGATTGTCGAAAAATAAATATTTTACGATATTTTATAGTTTATATAAAATTATGTCAAATTTAATATAAAATATCTCTTAAACTATTCGTTTTTAGTCATCTTATCCTTATAACCTTTCATGTTGAAAATTACAAGATATCTAAAAAAAAAAAAAAAGTCCATTAAAAATGTAAACGACCTTCAAATGACCTTGAAAAGCGTCCTTTAGAACAAAAATCAGAAACGCTATTTTTTATGAGGATAATCAATTAAAATGGAACACCCTGTGTAGTGTAAAAAAGTAATAATAATACAAATGACTAAATTTACATAATATGTATGATACATTAAATCAATTGATGCAGGTAGAAAAAGGAACGGATATAGCTACCTGCACTTTTTGCTAATCCATCTGGACTAAAAGTCAGAGCTCTTCTCTCATCCGGATTGCAACCAGTCAGGAGGGTCACGACAGGAGCCTCTCCGTCACCGCTCAAACCGACCTTCGCCTGCTGGGTAAGATAGTGACAGCATTCTATTATCTGGAAAAACAGCCACGCCTCCTTGTCCTTCGGCCTCGGTCCTTTGATCAACGGGAGCGCTAAACGTTCGTGGGGTCTCTGAGCCCGCAGGAATCTCGAGCCGCGTCTGAACTGCGTTTCCAGCCAGCGCGTCGCCTCCCTCGCCTGAGCACTCACGCGTTTCACCTCGTCCAAAGCGGAGACAACTGCAAATACAAACGATATAATCAAATAATTTCCTTGCATTGTATATTTTTGGATTAATTCGAGGCAAGTTCGCTTGTATGATTATAACGAACCATGTAAGTGTATTAATTTATTTGCAAACTTCTGATTAATCTATCAAAATCTTTTTGTTTTAACTTCTCATTATTCAAATTATATATTGTTTCCAAATATTTGACTGTACAGATCACTTGATAAGGATCAAATATAATGGTCGAAACGTTGTGATTTCTAAATAAATATAATTGCCAGTTTGGTCGAAAGAGAAGGTGATTATTTTTTCTTTATAACACTGGCGACCCACATCTACACTATTATATATTTTTCTTCAGCAATAAGAGCTCACTCACCCACTGCGGGGATCACTACTATGAACTTCCTCGCGTACACCAGCCGCTTGAGGGCCGGCGTATGCTTGGCTAGGGCCTCGTGATCGGAACAAGGTACGGCGACATCAGTCGAGACCGCAGCTGGCTCTCCAGAGCCCGCACCTCCGCCTTCAGCCACAACTTGCCCATGTGTCTCATCAGCTTCCCCTTCGAGTGGTCGGCCCCGAAGTTCTTCTCGTCCAGACCGATGACTTTCGGGGTGTTCGAGGAGCAGGAGTCCGTCGCCACAAACACTCGCTCGGTCCCATCGTATTGGACGCCCGAGTTCTCGACCGAACTAAGATGATGCCCGAACTCGATCAGCTTCAATGCTCTTAAAAGCGTCTCCTCCCGCTTGTTCAGTTTATTCTTGCGTAGTATCTGCCAGTCGAGAGACTTGTGCGCGTCCTCCAGCAGACTCAGCCCACGAAGCTCGATGTCCTCCGGCAGAGGCACCGTTCTCGCGCACTCCTTCAACCTCTCCTGGCTCGACAGGATCGTAAAATCGTCGCTCCTGCGCGTGAGAGCCTCCGTGTCCACGCTGATCAGGTTCAACAGGATCGTGAGACGCTTCAGCAACGTCCTCTTGGCGCATATCCTCACGATGTCTGGGTTGCTTCGCAGCCAGTCGCAGCAGACCTTAATAGACATCAGCATCTCCTTACCTACCAGGATGTTCAGGACGTCGTCTGGCTTTAAGCTCCGCTTCAAACAGACAGCGTCGATGTTCGCGCCCGAGCGATTGTTCTCCTCCTCAAAAGCGCTGGTCGAGCTCGCGTTCGTCGTGATCGTCAGAACGCTGTTGGAATTCGTCAGGGAGTCCTTCTCGCTCGTGGTCTGCGAGTCCTGCTTGCCGTTGGCTAAAGGATCAGCTTCTTCAGCGTGGCCGTTCATCCCCTTCTTCTCCGTCACATCTTCGCTGGTCTGGATTTTCTTCGCCGGCGACGACGACTCTTCGTCATCGGTGTTGTCGTCCGATAATACGGTATTTCCCTCGCTCAGGACGTCGTTTCCCTCCGTCTCGGACATGTCCGAGTTGATCTCGTCGCTGGACGATACCAGGGTCGGTTGCTCCACGTCGCTCGTGTCCGAATCGGAGCTGGTCCTCCTCTTTCGCCTGCGCAGTTTGCTGAGAAGATACTTCGACTTGTCGCGAACCCTCTTAGGACCTTCAGTATTATCCGATAACTTTGTCCTGTTTGTCTCATCTAAATTGAACGCATTATTGTCATTGTTTAGCGCAGAATCCCCTCCCTCCTTTGAATTTCTATGGTTCTCTTGCTCGAAGGATCCTTGACTTCCTTCCTGTGAATTCTTCAATTTTGTGGAATACATGTTAGCCTTTGCAGTAGCTTCTGCGTCAGGCACTGCCATGTCTACAACGATGTTTTGCAGTCTCGTTATTATAAATTCCAATAATTGCGATAGTATCGCCAGAGTTATGGCAACGACACCCTGCACCTCGCTAGATTCCTTGCTCTTTAATCTAGAAATTGACATTAAGCATATTGTCACAATCTTAAACACCATGTCGTCTGTTAAATAAAGCGTTGGTCTGTTCTTGCAATTTTGAAGATATGTCTCTATACTATCCATATTTTCAAGGCAATTTGCGTTATTCGGTTCAACTTGTTCCATTATTAAACAGTTCTCCATGTCGGTCAAGAGAGCCTGTAAAAAGGAAATCGAGAAAATCATTATTAATTTCGAGAAAAATGTTTATAAACAAAATTATCAGTGAATAATATATCTCGCTTTAAACATATTACCTGACATTCCTGATTAATTCTGTCAGAATTTGGATTTTCATAATCCCATAAATGTAACAAAGAAAATAACCGTGTCACACAATGCTGGACAGAATTGTTTTCGTCTGTGCAAAGAGAATAAGTTATTATGGTTCTCTTTAAATTTCCTTCTGCTCCCTCAAATGGCTCAGAACATAAAACACTACAAAATAGTCATAATTGTAATTGTTGTAAAAATAATGTATCGCTAATAGTAATATTTATTACTAATGCCAACCTTTTCATATAATGATAGACGGCATCTAATCCATAATTTTTGCTGCCAGCTATGGTACCAAGCTGATTGTAAGGCATACCGATATTTGGATCAATGGCTATAGCCATTTTATAATATCTGTTAGCTATCATTGGATCCCAATTTGAATCTAATTCTAATTTGTACCTGCTCAGGTCTCCAAGGCATACCAAGCTTCGATGGATCAAACGCATGACGCACTGTTTGACTTCCTTGGTATGAGTTTTAAATTGTCCCATCTTAGGTCTTGCCTATTATATTCATTATAATTTTAATATTTAATTTAATGATCCTCTTATAATATTGTTGCAATCATATAAAAAAAAAGGAACTTACTTTTTTCATATGCATACTTACGTATGGCGAAACACTTTCATTTTGAATAAACGCAAAATCAACAACACCGACAAGGTCTAAATCATATTCTATTTGTAATCTCAGTATCAGATGATGATAATATCCTACACCCACTGCCAAATGAACCGACAATAATGCTTTTTCCGCATCGTTCCAAATGTTACCCTGCAAAATAATATATATATATATATATATATATATATTATAATTAGAAAAAAATTGCTATATAGAATACTATATGAAATATAATGTGTGTAAAATGTCTATGTATTCTCTATAGCATATTATTATAATATTACTTTTTAATATCTTAGAGTATTAATATCACCTTTCTTAATTTTTTGGCTGCATAAACAACATCGTAAAAGGCTTTCCTCCATAATAGCTCCTCTATTTTATGCACATTTCCAATGGGATCTTTCAATATCAATCTCTCGCAGTAATCTTTAAGTCGCACACGTAGCACTTCCCCAGATGGGACAAATATATCGCTTACTGTCAGAGCTTGATTCTTCTGTTCATCCAATTTCCTGACAATCTCCGTCACGCTCCTTGCAAATAAAAATGTACATATTAAATAGCCGATCAAAATGTACAAAAATCATTATCAAAGATACATATTCAGCTGTCTTATTTTTTTTTTTAACATGTTTATCTTTATTACATAATGCAAACTTTACATAAGAGAAGAGTACAAATATACATAAAATATAAATATTCAAAACATTATATATAAATATTCACATATATTTTAACATATAAATATTTATTTTTTGTAAATATTTTAATAAATATCTCTCTAAAAAAATATATCCGAGATAGAGGGCGCAAAATTCGAGAAACGTGCACATGATAAGAAACAAGCATGGCGAGTAGAGGAGACGGGTGGGTTAGGTTCGCAAAAGTTCCTCCGGGAAGTCATTGTTCTCTCTCTCTCTCTCTCTTCCAGAGAATGACATAAATATCTGCAACACTCGTAGTAGAGCGCAAAATAATTTCCGGAAGGAAATATCTCATCTTTTTTCGCAAGGAAGAGAGAGAAAGAGAACGCGAGGGGATGGGTTCATTATTATATCCCTTACTTGTGCAGACGTCTCGTGGCTTCGAGACAGTCCGCCGTGGGGTTGCACACTCTCCTCATTTTGTGCGACTCATGACCCGCGTCTCGGTCGACTTGTCCTTATTACTCATTTCCCCGCGGTCTCCTGACACGCGCATCTCCCTCGCACGCCGAGAAATTCGCCCGACATTCGCCCGTCGTCGCTGCTGCTGCTGCTGCTGATCTGTCTGTTCCCGCTGGTCCGTAAACGTGCGTTCACTTCCGTGGTACTCTTTCCGCCGCGCAATGACGTCACGGAAACGCTACGGTTGCGCCGGAGTCATTTTTCCCCCACCATCTGTCAACTGTCAAACTTGCACCAATCAGCGCGAGGCGCGCCGACCAATCAGCTGATCGCCGGCGCCGCGTCAATCAATCAGAGCGAAGCGCTGCTAGTGAGTTGCTGTTCGAGCTGATGGACCAATGACGATCAATTTTCTAGTTCTTTACTAGTTATTTAGTATGGGACGGTGAAAAGGCAGGGAGAGTCGCTCTAGGGTATTTTTACTATAGGTTGAAAGGTGATCGGACGTCATCTCTTTTCGTTTTCATGGAATAGACGAAAACAATAATGGCGTATTCCGTGAATATTTCTGTGGAGGCGCCGATTGAAAATCAAATACAGGAAATTACTTACGATGGCCAAGAAATTTATCAAGCGTACGTCACTATTTTGAAAATAACAGGAAATTAGTATTAAATTAATTGGATTGGAGTTTTGAGTAGGAATTTATTGTACATTATAAATGCATTTCGTTAACCTTAATTCGGTTGACAAGTCAGAATTACATATATTTATATTATTTTATTATAATTTTATCATTGCAGGCCCCTCACATTGTCGGAGAACTTGGCGAAAATTGCTCAAAAGATTGACTTCAATAAAACGAATGGTGAGGAAATAAAGAAGGAGCAGGTAGAAGATGAAAAAGGCGACGAGGATGCAAAAGATTCCACTTCGTTTCAATCCTCTTTATGGCCTTGGGATAGTGTTAGAAATAAATTAAGGTTTGGCTTCTTTTACATTATGTATTTTTCTATATTATGTAGAAGAATAGGCACTTGATTTGAAATAATTACATATACGATTACTTGATTAAACCTAAGAACTAAATTTAACTTTCCCTTTTCATAGGAATGCCTTGACGGAGGTTTGCGTATTGGCTGATGTACTTGCAATAGCGAAAGAGAAAAATTATATGGTATTAGATCCAGTACCTCAAGAACAAGTTGAAGTGAAGCCTATGATACAAGTATATGCTAGGAAAAAGGCATTGGCAGGAGCAGCGTCAGTTCTAATCCTGGGTGCTGACAGACTACGGAATTGTCAAACTGATCCGTTATCTAGACCTAAGTCCATTCCTGATTTTCACATTGAATTGTTAAGATTACGACAAAATTGGCGTTTAAAGAAAGTGTCAAACTCCATCATTGGTGATCTTAGTTATCGAACTGGTTAGTATATATTTTTATTTATTATTTAAACATATTTATTTATTTCGTAATTTTTTTTAACTTTTGCTGTATTATATATATATATATATAGCTGGTTCGAAGTATACACAAATGGGTATGTTTGAAGTCACCAAAGCAGAAGAAGAAGATAAAAATAGTAATAGTCCACCAGCATCCCCTAATGCTGGTAATAATATGTCAGGACAATCTCATACTTCTTCAAATTCCAAATTATCTGCCTTACGTGTGACTATACCTAGCGAGTTGCAAGGTGTCGCCTATATTGAGGTATTATGTCAAAAAGGTAATATAACAAAAGAAGAAAAAATCTTTAAAAGAATGCTATATAAATTATAATATGTATATCATGTATATAATATACATATTATATTTATATATTTAATTATATATTTTATTTTTACTATTTATTTATATATATATTTATTTATTTATTCATATATATATATAATATACATTTTATACAAAAATAAATATATGTATTTTCAGATCAAGAAGATTTATGCAGTGCGAATATAAGTTTGCTTAATAGTAATACTAATAATTCAAATGCCGATATGCATTGGCAGCAGAAATTGGAAGCCGCACAAAATGTTCTATTTTGTAAAGAGCTGTTTAGTCAATTGGCACGGGAGGCTGTGCATTTACGCGCGCCTATACCTCACATGGTTGTTGGAAATCAAATAATGGCCACAGTATGTATCTTGTAATCAAAATTAGAAAGTTTCCATCTTCTTTTTCTTATGTAATTAGGGTGTATACTCTCAGGAAAAACCTTGAAAACTTGGTATTCTCAGGAAATTTTGTTCTACCTTGAAAAATAAGAGGTTTCTTATAAAATTTAATCAATATTTAGGAAATTTTTTAAAAAGTGCCTTCTTGATAATTTTATTCTTATTTAGTACATAGTTTAAAACATATGTCTGATATATCTTTGCAATATTTAAATTTTATGTGATTTTTTTTATTGACGATTTATTCTTAGTATCAAGATCAAGGTGTTATATAAGTTTCATAAAAAATTGTTCAATTTTTTAATGGATAATATTTAAATAAATTAGTACTCTTTATTTATTTGATAAATAATTAAATAAGTAATAATAATTTAATAAATAATTTTAATAATTTTGTTTTATATTTCTGTATATATTTTTAGCATTTATATATGATGATATATCATACTTTATTAATGTTCAAATTAATTTTATAATTAATAAATTAACATGAAATGCTAGGAAAACTGCACTTTTGATAACTTTAATCGTATAGTATATAGATAATCGTATATATAGGAAACATTAGAAAGCACATGGAACAATGAAACTTATATTAAAAATCTACATTTACAAATTTTTTAAATTTACTTGGAATTTTAAGAATCAGGGACTTTTTTTAACAAAATCTGAGTAGACACCCTGGTAATGTTCCTTAATTTAACTGTGACATATTGTGACATATATACTTAATTAAAACTGTCTTTATTGCACCAGGTACTTCCGGAATTCAACTGATAATTGGTCTATGTCACAGCACAGGCAACGATAAGAAGCCTGTTGCTCCACCACCACACAAAACAGATCACGATCATGTGTTGGAACATTCTTTACATCAGTTGTTACGTGAAGTGCATTACAAGAACAGTCAACATCCGTTTCCCCATCCTGCCTCGGGTCCGCTGGGTCCTAGTAAACGCAGATACCTGGCTGGTCCTACTGCTGCCGACAAATACGAGCTTTTAGAAATGACGAAGAGTCAAACATTATTGGAACAGATCATTCAACAGGCGCAACATTTCTTTATGCGTTTGCGCACGGAATACGTATTAGACACGATAGCGAAGGAGGTGAAGGATCCTCTTATCGTTTCGCATTGGAATTCGTTGAATTCACCGACACAGTCCAGCGTGAAGATTAATATTCTGACACACGGATACGACAGTGTATGTCGGACAACGATGATCGTTCACGTCGGCGAAAAATCATTGAAATGTGTCTGTCGCGATGGTAGAGTCATGCATATGAGTTACGAACCCCAGGAGCTTAGGGATCTCATTTTTTGTCAGGTCAGTCTTATTTTATTTATATTTATTTTTATTATTTTTTAAAATTATTTTTCTATTTTATTATTTTATAATAATAATAAAATATTTTAAATCTTATTACAAATAATAAAATATAAGAGTACTTACTACTATAGAACTTTAAATTGTATACTCTTACTCTTATTTCATAATAATAATAATTATTATTATTTTTATTATGTGTAAGAGTATAAAGTTTAAAGTTCTATAGTATACTCTTATATTTTATTATTTGTAATAAGATTTAAAAACATTTTTTATTGATAAAATATCAAATTTCTTTTATATATAGATATATCAACATCAAATAAACGCAGTGCAAGCTCTCGCCAAATGCATGGGCTGGCAATTTTTAGCAAACAGCTCGCATCTTGGTCTGGGTTCAGTGGAACCTCTCGGAAATGCTAGTAGTTGTATTCTGGCTTCGCCAATTGGTGACAGGTACTTTATTATAAACTTATAAGAGAGAAATGTGTTACCTGTATTATTTAATGATTAGAATATATAATTATTCACAGAATGATAGCTGTGCGGTGTGAACCGCAAACGGGCGTGCAAGTTGCGATTGCTCATTCCCCTCGAAAAGATTTCTTCCCTGGTCAACTTGTGCGAGAGAGAAAATGGGAGAATCTCGGAGGCTCGTTTAAGGAAGTCAGATGGGACAAAATGGAAGGAAAGAATTTCCTGAATAAGATGGAATTACTAATGTCTTCTTTAATGAGCTCCTAAGTGTGTTGCAAATTACAGTGAAACTTCTATATATTTTTTCGTGGGACTTTAAGGATCTTTTATATTTCCTCTCGATTTTCCCCCTCGTCTCCATTCACATAGTAGAATAGAATAAAAAAGTTGTACAGACGCGAATTAATTTAGAATGGATGAAAAAGGGAACTATAAACTAAAATGCAGAGAGAGTAAAATAAACTGAGAATTGCTTTTATGGCTACAATATTTTGATGATAAAATCCAGCTAAAGAAAGGTAAAATAGAAATTTTTTCTTTTAATTTATTTTTCAAGACAAATATTTTAGTGTGTAAAAAAAGATCAAAAATATTTTCTCTTTAGTCAAAAAAAGGTACTATTTTTATATATATTTTACTATTAATTTTTGTGTATATCCTTATCAAACTAAAGTAGTGGTGCGAATTGAAGGGAAATTTCGCGCATGCGCAATTCAGATACGTATATATTTTGCTATAATAATAATAATGAATAATTTTATTACGAAAATTTAATAAGAGAATTTACAGTAAATTTTACATAAATATGAACTTAGTAATTATATATAGTTTCTCTAAAACACTAAAAAATCCTTTTATTGCAGGAATATATGTAATATATTTGTAAATATAAAGCATGTAATTATTTATTGTATATATTAATATATATATATATTACATTAAGTATAATTTATTAAATTTATCAAATTAAATTAATTAAATATATATAATAAATTATATTATATATATATAATATATATATATATATATATAAAAATATTAATATAAATATAATAGTATATTAATATAAAATATAGTGTATATTAATATAATATTCTATTAATATAATTATTAATCATAAGAAAAGTATTTTATATAGGCTCCCGAACAAACAGCTCTGTGTAACATCTTGACTCGTTTACATGATGTAAAGATGTAACACGCTTGCGTACGAAAGTTCGGACAGATTCCCTTCAACACACCTTGAAGAATCAGCCATAAAAGATGAATAAGAGACACAGAGTCTATATGTATGTATATTACACGAATAATATATATATATATATACATGCAATTACATAATTATTATAATTGTTGTAAAAAAAAAAATATATATATATAATTTTTTTTAAAGGAATAAAACCGAATAAGAGAGGAAGAAACTCGAAGAAGGAGAAAGAGAAGACATTTTCCAGCCTTCGAGTTTGCGCGAAGCTTCATCCGTCGACCGTCGACTTCGGATCCGATCGATCTCCGTCCAACTGGATTGAATTAATTAAATACGTTAATCGCTGTCAAACATGGGCTCCGACAACACGCAGAGACGCTGGAGCAATTTGCGCAAAGTGCTGGAGAGATGCGGCCCGTTTTGCCGACCGGACTTCGAACCGTCCTCGGAGAATCTGCAGATGCTCCTCGAACGATGCAAAGTCCTGGTGGTCGGCGCCGGCGGCTTGGGTGCGAGCTCCTGAAAAACCTCGCCCTCATGGGTTTCCGGCACATCCACGTCATCGACATGGACACGATCGAGCTGTCTAATCTCAACCGGTGAGTGAGGTTAAGCGGCATCCCAGGGAGAGATTCAAATTCGTAGAATTACATTTCTGTCATTTTTTCATTTTTCCTCTTTATTCTGTCAAAGAAAAATGCTGATTTGACGTGCAAACAAAAATTTTTTTTTTTATTTATTTTATACATTTTTTATTTAATATATAATATATATTAAATATATATTTAATATATATTTATATATTAAATAAATATTTAATTATATATATATATATATATATATTATATATATTTAATAATATATTAATATATTAATAGTTTTTTAATATATTTTAATATTTATTAATATTAATAAAATATTAATATAATAATATATAATAGTATATAATAGAATATATGTGTAATAAATATAATATATATAAGAAATATATAATATTTAATAAAAGATGTTATTTATAAAGCTGATAAAAAATATATGTATTGCAGACAGTTCTTATTCCGTCATAAAGACAGTGGCTCTTACAAAGCAGAAGTAGCTGCAAAATTCGTCAACGCAAGAGTACCTGGTTGTAATGTAATTGCGCACAATTGCGAGATACAAGCTAAAGATCCAGCGTTTTACCAACAATTTCACATGATAATCTGCGGATTAGACTCAATTGTCGCAAGAAGATGGCTGAATGGTATGCTGATGTCTTTGCTTGTCTATGAGGATGGTGCGTTGGATCAGAGTAGTATTATACCATTGATAGACGGTGGAACTGAAGGTTTTAAGGGAAACGCCCGAGTTATATTACCGGGTATGAATCCCTGTATCGAGTGTACCTTGGATCTCTATCCTCCACAGGTGAATATCATTTTCCATATTTATTTTCATGAATTAATATTATCAATACAGTATATATTGGCATTCTACAGGGTGTCCATTTTAATGTCCTACCTCAAATAAGTTTTTTATTTTTGATTGTAGAAAAAATGTTTCAGACAAAAATTGTATGGTTTTGAGGAGGACATAAGGTGGTGCCATTAGTTTGACCCTGAATAGTTGCTTGAAAGTCACGTAAAGGTCACCTTGAGGTGAGATCTTGTCTTATAACTCAAAAAGTACTTGAGATAAAAATGTTTTATTATAGTGTTTTGGAAAGCTCTCGATGTCAGCTACAAGAATATGTAATGAAAAGTAGGTGGTTCTATTTAAGAAATTAAAGGTGACTTTTACATGATTTTATCATGCAACTATTCAAGGTCAAATTAACAGCACCATCTCATGTCCTCCTCGAAACCATACAACTTTTATCTGAAACATTTTTTTCTACAATCAAAAATAAAAAACTTATTTGGGGTAAGACATTAAAATGGGGCACCCTGTATATTATTATTTTAATGATTAATTTGATATTTATATTATTATTTTAATATTTAAATTATTATTTGCACAGGTCACCTATCCTCTGTGTACGATAGCCAACACCCCGCGTTTGCCAGAACATTGCGTAGAGTATGTGAAGGTGATCCAGTGGCCGAAGGAGAACCCATTCGAGTGTGCGATTGATGGAGACGATCCTCAGCACATAAACTGGATTTACGAAAAGTCGAACGAGAGAGCGACGCAATTCGGCATACAGGGCTTAACGTACAGACTTGTGCAAGGCATCATCAAGAATATTATACCGGCTGTGGCGTCGACGAACGCTGTCATCGCTGCGATCTGCGCGACAGAAGCATTTAAGCTTGCAACCAGTTGCAGCGCATCTTTAAATAATTACATGGTAATTATGAATCAAGTCTACGTCAACATAATTTGCCATGGACAAAGTACTAATTTGATATGAACGTTATTCAGGGTGTCGCTAACTGTCCTTGAAATATTCTGGAATTTTGTTTGTCCTTTAAGGCTCCTGCGTTCTCGTTTCTGACGTCACAATTCCAGGAGTCTTAAACGTTTAAATATAATATAAGAATGTTGTATCGAATATTTGTAATGTATACATTCATTTTCATTAATTTGCAATTTATATCGACTTGATAAAAAAATTTTTCAGTACATATTATTAGAAAATCGTGCAAATGTCCTTGAAATGTTCTTAAATTTCATTTTCAAATTTTACTAGACACCATGTTATTTTTTCTACACATTTTTAAGTCTTAAGTACAATGCAAATATCGATAATAATTTTAATAAACAGTAAAAAGAATTATAAAACTTAAAAATTTTATTTTTGAAGGTGCTCAACAATTTGGATGGAGTTTACACGTACACTTACGAAGCAGAGAAGAAGCAAAATTGCCTGGCGTGTAGTCAAGTGCCGCGAGAGATCGAGATCAAGGATCCAAAATACAAACTGCAAGACTTGATAGAGCTTCTTTGTGAACGGCCGGATTTGCAAATGAAAAGTCCCGGCCTTACAGCGATTGTAAACGGCAAAAGTAAAACTCTGTACATACAAACGGTGTCGAGTATCGAGCAGAAGACACGCGAGAATCTGTCAAAGACTCTGATCGAGTTGGGTTTAAAGGACGATACTGAAATTAACATCGCCGATGTTACAACTCCGAATACAGTTACTCTAAAATTGAGATTTTCACACAGTGATAGCATAAGTCGACAATAACTATTAGCCGAGAATTTTACTTTTATATAAAAAATTCGCGCTTTTCTTTATAAGTATTCTTTATAAGTTATATATATTTATAAGTATACTTTATAAATTATACTTTATAAGTATACTTTATAAATTATATATAGGTACATAATTCAAATATAATATATCTGCTTTATATCTTTATTTTATATTTTTTAATCCGCTTTATAAAATATATATATATATATATAAAGGGTGTTCCGAAATTCGTGAACCAAAATATCAAACAAGAAAATTCTTGAAAAAATAAATTAAAGTATTTGCCATTTTTCATTTTAAATAGTAGTTTTTTTAGTTAAAATATATTTTTTTAATTTATTTTTTCGAGAATTTTGATTCACGAATTTCGGGATACTCTGTATATGTTTATATACATATATATTTTACATATATGTATATTTATATACATATATATTTTATATATATGTGTATATTATATATTTATATATTATATACAAATTATATATATAAAATTCAAATAAGTACTTGTATTATATATGTGTGTGTATATATATATATATATATATATATATATATTAGCGGACTAAATCAATATAAAGATATAAAAAAATGCAACAATAAAGTCATTGCTTAATGCCATTGCATATGAAGAAAGTTCCGTAGTCGTAACCGATCAATTATACAGTCAAATGTTCTTGCTACATTGTAAGAAGATGCTCGATTGTGAGAATATATCTTTTGCATATTAACATAAAAAATTCAGAATATTTTAAACTGAACAATAAATACATTCAATATTTTAACAATTGAAATATGATAAAAGTTACCAATTGTATACGAAATAGATGGAACTATTTAGTGATCGGATAAATAATATCTTAAAATAAAGCAGAACAGCCAATAGAGAATATGTTAAATGAATGTTTTTAATTAATGAATAGTTTTTGAAACTTTGAAACGTTTCTGCAACATTTCTGTTGAGTTTTGTGCTGTGTGGGACTGAATGCATGCATAATTTAGCTCTTTTAAAATATATATAATATGTACATGTTTAAAAGTTTAAAAAAGTTTAAGAGTTTAAAAAGATTAAGTTAAGAGTTTAATAGTTTAATTTAAAAACGAATTTTGAATGTTTTTTTTGAGTGTCTTAATAAATATATCGACTGAATGCATGCACAATTTATCTGTTTTAAAATATATATAATATGTACATGAGTTTAAAAAAATTATTGACATAATCTAAATCTACTGCATAATATAATAATATTGTAAGTGTGATCATTTTGTTCACTTCCAATTTTGAAAAGCTATAATAGAATGATACGCGCGAGAATGGTATATATTTTTTAAAATAGATTTAATTATTTTTGAATTGAATAAACTAAGAGTTATTTCTAATTATTCTTGTTCGATATATACAAGACATGCGTTTCTCAAAAAATCGATAATAAGAGCACTATCTCATATACATACTTTATAATTATCCCCGGCTGCGAATTCGAATAGTTCCATGTTGTTTGAGTCTACCGGTGCAACCTGTTACGAATTATGAATTTTTCTCTTTTTGATTGTCTTAATGAATATCGTCTGAATCCATGCATAATTCAGCTCTTTTAAAATATATATAATATGTACATGAATTTAAAAAAATTATTGACACAATCTATTGCATAATAATATTATACGTGTGATCATTTTGTTCACTTGCGATTTTGAAAAGCAATAGAATATTAAACGCGCGAGAACGTTATATATTTTTTAAAATAGATTTAATTATTTCTTTTTGAAATATTTGAGACATGCATTTCAAAAAATAGATAATAAGAGCTATTACTATCTCACATACATACTTGATATTATTGTTTCGCAAAAATTGAAAAAGTTTCTCTGATTCCGAAAAGAGTGTGAGCTTCTTTGCGAGGCACAACTTCTTCTAACACTGACACTTAAAAATGTATTAGATAATAAAAAGTTGATACAAAAACGAAGGTTTAACAACATAAAGATAGGTCTATAAACATAGATATAAAATTGTAAACACATGTACATTTATACATATAATATACACAATATAATTTTACACATGATTTTTCAATTAATATTTATAAGCATAATTAAAAATTATAAATATATATATATAATTCTATATATATATATATATATATATATATATAATTTTTAAATTAATATTTATAAGCATATGCATAAAAACTAAATAACTGGTTCTCAGTTTTTTAATCTGTTTAATATATGAATATTTCAAGTGTCTTATATATATCGAAAAATTTAAGAGATATAAGTTTTAAATTTTACTCTAAAAAATAGTTAAATTTAATTAAACTGTTAAATAGTGTATAAATTATGCATGATTTTTTGTTTTTGGAGATTCAAAATTAGTATCAGATAGTATTTTAAATAGAAACAAAGGGTACATATTTTTTCCTTTGTTTAATGTCGCTTGATAATAAAATTAAACATTTATAGAGGAATATTTATTTATTTTCTTATTATAATTTCTTGTAGAAGATACTGGCAAAATAATTGTTTAACTTTGGGACATTTTGAACACACACATACACACATAAACGCAGAAGAAATTTGGAGCAAAATCGACAAACAATGTGTTCAGAAAATCTAAGTAAAATGATAAAAAATAAATATAAAATGGATTATTATAAAGAAAATTATGAGTAAATTATAAAGTTTGAATATAAATATGTAACTCTGCCTTATTAACATTTTTCAATATTTTATTGAAACTGAATAACTTTAAGAGATTTAAATAAATTTTCTATAGAAGAGATTTCTATTTCTTCGCACTTTTAGTACGTAATTACTTCACAGCTTCAAAAGAATTTCTTTTTTACAGGTATTAAAGGTTCAAATTATTTCTTTAAATATGTCTGACAACATCGCAATCTTTAAGTCTTTATACTTCAATAACTATTAGTGATTCTAATATATATTAAATTATATATATAGCAATATATCTTTTAAATATTAACATAAAAAATTTGAAATATTTTCAACTGAAGAATAGATACATTTAACCTTTTAACAATTAAAATATGATAAAAGTTACCAATTATATTCGAAATGAATAAAACTATTTAGTGGTCGAATAAATTGTCGGTACTATCAACTATTTTAGTTACATTTAGATTAGGGAATTCTTTCGTTCCAATGTTGTTAATGTCCGAAACTTCGTCAAAATGCGAATAATTAATATAAAAAAACAGTCTTTTTGCCGTCACTCTTTCAGAATTTAATTTTGTAAAATAATAAAATATTAACGACATACATATATATATATACATTCTATCAGAAAATACTAAATAAAATATTTATTCTTATTTACGTTATATATTGATAATATTAAATGTAGTAAATGATTTGTGATAATCTATAATTATTAAAATTTTATATTTCATTATAAAAATTAAAAAAAACATCCAAAATTTTTTTAAGAAAATGATTTAATAAATTGCTCATTCGCATATCTTTGCATATTTATATACTTTGTAAATTATATAGGTATATCTATATCAAAATCACGCGCATTAATTCTAATATCTTCCATCATCATGGTTTAAATTTATTATTTATGTATATACTTTCCACATTGTAGTATTTCAAATTTAAAAAATTTATATTTTATATATCACTTTAATTTTATAGGGTATTGAAGCCAACTGACAGTATGATTTTTATATTATTGTCTCATCTAACTTTTTTTTAATAATGTCAATTTTCCGAAATTACTTTCAAACAGCTATTAGGAGAAAGAAACAATTTCGTAAATGTGTAACAAAACATCATTCAAATAGATGACACTCAACATTATCATTACATTTCCTTCTTTGATCATTATTATTATTAGATGCGAAATTATTAGAAAATAGTTTCTCGTAGATAAATAGAAACCTTTTTCTCTCTCCCCTTTACATACACACGCAAACATATATCCAAAATTTCACTAAATTGTAATAAAATTATCATTATATAAAGAAAATACTTGAATTTTGGCAGGATCATGATTTTTATAGTAGATTTCATCATCAGAACAGTTTTTTCAAATATTTTTATTATTATCATTATTATTCTAGAGCCTGCCACACAAAAATAAAAAAAAAAAAACATTTTAAGTTACACATTACTATATATTATTTAGATCTTAAGTTTGTATTATACACACATCTTACAAATAATATTGTAACTCTGCTTTGTGCATTAAATTATTTTTTCAGAAGTTTAAGATTTTGCGAAGATGCACAAATATTTCAATGTCGTTTGCGAGATATTATTCACGAACTTTTTGGCACTTCGTACCACATACACCATCAAAATCGATAGCATTATATTTTCTTAGCGATAATATTCAGCTTATTTAACACAAACGCACGCACAATTAAAAGAGAGAAGTCTTTCTCTAACAATGATAAAGTATTCAAAAGTGACCATTGCATTTATGTATGTATGTATATATTTTTCCTCGGAACAGATTAGATTTCTTAAATTTTTATGTCAATTTTAGATTGTCATTTATATAATGAAACCTTAAATAAATATTAATGCAAGTTGATAAAAAAATAAAGAAATTTGCGCTTTCTAAATATTATAAGTATAATATCAGCCATTCGACTCTGTTCTATCTCTAATAGTTTTTTTGTAGCAACAGGATAATGTCGTTCAAAACAATCGGTAAATTTATACTGGTTGTTCATTGACTCTTTGTATAATGTTCCATCTCTCGCATAACTTCAATTTCAAAGCTTCAGGAAAAGCTTCAGAATTATATAAATCAATGGCATCTTGACAAATTTTTGATAATTGAGTTTCAATAGGCACTAAAATAAATCGAATTGCATCTATTTTCATCGCCACGAGACATGTTAAAGAGAGCCACGGTGCCTCTAATTTAGGGAGAACTGAAGGAATCACGTCGCTCAAAATCATTCTTTTCGATACGCTAAGTGTTAAGGAGTTCATAAATATACAAAAGTCTGAAGAACATGGTATTTTGGTTGCTGCATAAGTACATGCCAAGGCTATGCTTGGAAAGGAATATAGTACG